TCAAGACCCTCCAAGACCCTCCAAGACCGACCAAGACGACCAAGACCGACCAAGACCGCAAGCCGACCAAGACCCGACCAAGACCTGACAAGACCGACCAAGACCGAACAAGACGACCTAGACCGACCAACCGACAGCGCAAGACCGACCAAGACCGAGACGACAAGAACGCAGACCTACAAGACCGACCAAGACCGACCAAGGACCGACAAGACCGACCAAGACCGACCAACGACCGACCAAGACCGACCAAGACCGACCAAGACCGACCAAGACCGACCAAGACCGACCGACAAGACCGACCCAAGACCGACCAAGACCGACCAAATTAGACCCGACCAGACGACCGATCCAAGACCGACCAAGACCGACCAAGAACCGACCACAGACCGACCAAGACCGACCAAGACCGACCAAGACCGACCAAGACCGACCAAGACCGACCAAGACCGACCAAGACGACCAAGACGACCAAGACCGACCAAAGACCGACCAGACCGACAAGACCGACCAAGACCGACCAAGACCGACCAAGACCGACCAAGACCGACAAGACCGACAAGACCGACCAAGACCGACAAACCCACCAAGACCACAAACCGACCACAGACCGACAGACCGACCAAGAACCGAACCAGACCCACCAAGACCCACCAAAGACCCACCAAACCCACCAAGACCCACAAGACCACAAGACCCACCAAGACCACAATGACCACCAAGACCCACCAAGACCCCGCCCACCACCCCACCACCCGGCGCCCCGCCGCCCCGCCCCGCCTGCTTCGTGGGGCGAAAAAATCACAGAATATAAAAAAGGTCGACGTAGGTTATACGAGTACAGATGGTGATTAAAAAGTAAATATTCGAGAAGGTTCAAATATCTATAACGCTTAAGACTCATATGTATGAGAATAAATAAAATTTTATCTTTATAATCGAGGAACGATTCGCAAAAAAAAAGCAGATTATTAGTTGTTACGATACGTCTTCCGCCCACACGTCGGCCTCGATTTTCCTTACATCTCCATCCTCGCTCAACTCGGCGAAAGCCTCCCACCACAGCGCACCGCCACCTCACGTGCACAACCCGCAGGCGACACCACATTAGCCCAGTCTCCGCCTGCGCGCTCCCCGGCCTCTCGCTCTCCCGCCCCACCCACTGCTCTTGCCCAACACCATGCTCGCCCCATTCCCACCTCGTCCCGCCCCGCCCCCACCGCTACCCTCGGAATTCGAATGCGGCGCGGAGGCAGACCCGAACAGCCCGCCAGCCTTTAATATCAGGAGTCATTAAGACTCAAAGGTTGCCTCCCCGTAGCCTGGGCGCAGTGGGATCTGGTGCAGCAATTCGGCGGCCACCTAGGAAGGCTTCGCGATTTCTGTTTGGCTCTCCCCTGGGCCATCTTAACACGTCAACTGACACGTTTTGATAAAATACACTTTTTGTTAGTAAGTGTTTTTAATAATGCGATTTCATCAGGGTCAAATCGGTTTAGACCAAATAATTATTAGGTAGTCAAATTGAAGTCTATCGTAAAAATGAATAATCTGCTATTTTTTGGGAATCGTTCCTCGGTTATAAAGATAAAATTTTATTTCTTCTCGTACGCATGAGTCTTAAGAGTTACTGATATTTTGAACCTTCTTCTTGAATAATTATTTTTAATCACTAACCTGTACTCGTATAAAACCTACGTCGACCTTTTTTTATAATTCTGTGATTTTTTCGCGAAAGGGATGCCTGGAGCCAAATGGGCAGTGTGCCATCAAGGAAAAGCTGAAATGAGGGCTGTTTAATTCCCGCAACATTCCACTTTCATTCCCCTTCTCAGTTAAACTCTTGTCTTCATTGAATCCAAACAAGAACGAAATATTGCGCTTCTCCTACCGCAAACAATTAAAGGAATCTTCTGCCAATTATGAGAGTGTAATAATTGAGAACATTTACTTTACAATGTAAAAAAGAGTTAGATCATTGGCAAGATGAAAACACGAGCGTATTGCTTTCCACAAGATGTAAGCAGACTATTTTTTGCTTGCTTTTACTTCTTACCTCTCATTTATAAGAAGCAAAATTGTAAAGTATATTGCGGTGTAATTCGGTGTAATTTGTGTATTTTATTTTTTAATAATATTTTATAATGTATGTACATTGCACATATATTAATTACGATAGAAATGCTTGTAGAAATAGTTTTGGAATTGAAAACAACTGAAGAAGAATACAAAAAATGTGATATACTTCGTTACGGGAACTTGGATTACAATTCGTGATTTTTAAAATATCTTCGCAGTTCAAGTGTTCTCACCTTACACAAATCGAAAGAGTAAGAAAGAAATATTCAAAGTTAGATGTACCTTTTGCATTTAAATGAGGTAATACATTTATTTAGCCATTAAATAAGGTCATCCTGTGTAAACAGAATCAGTTTTTTTTGAAGTGCCTATTGGTAACAATCGTACACGTTCAAGGAAAGCTTTTGCAATACCTGTGCATACAAAAAAGCGTAAATGTAGAACAGAGAGTTTGTTTTGTACTAGAAATTTATGATACGTTTCTAAAATATATTTATTTAATAAACTGATCATCTTTTGGACGGTTGAAGCAAGTATATTACACTTCGAAATAATGGTTGCTCTTTTGGTTTGATCTAGTGGTGCACGCCGCTTACCCCATACGTTACGCGTACATTTTACAATTTATTCGACTCGGCAATTGCTAATTCATATTCTAATCCCAGAACGTGTTTGAGTTCATAAATGTAAACTGAGTCCAAACATATATCGGCTCATGTTACATTATTTCAATACTAATGTATATATGATGGTTCAGGTTACATTTTTAAATAAGGAAAAGAAATCAGTTATGCGCGTTCTAATATTTACTTTATTTCTAATGATTTTTGGAAACACTGTTTTCCGAATCGCTTGGTGCTTGTAATGCACCAGCACAGATTTTGCGATGCAAAGCAGTGCAATGTGATCTCCTACTATCCGTCAACTAATATCTTTATCCACTTAAGCCTGCAATGGTGGACGATGCAGATGTATATAAAAATCTGAATATCGTTGCTCTGCTAATGCAGCACACCCCTCCCAATGAGCGGAAAAGTATTTCCGTGCATGGATAATCTCTATCAATACTGTGAAAATGAGAAAGTAGTCCAGTCAAATAATATTAGAATGTAGAATAACGGTCTTCATTGTAACACATCACACATCTTTGGACCATATTCACAAAAACCTTTGCTTCGCGAACTTAAAATTGTCTTTTCCAAAAATAATCGGTTCGAAACAAACTTTCAATACAAGTCTCGCCGGCGTTCTTCGTAATAATTATGAAGTTGAAAAAATAGATAATTATAATCTGTTATAAGGATTTTTAGATTCTAACAAATTCCTTCGTCGCCTAAAAAATACCACAGTATGGTCGGAATCAGAGGCTTGCAAAAGAGGCCCCTTCTTCCCTTGTTTCAGAATCGTGTGAGTCTTTGCTCCTTTTCCGTTTTTGGGCCTGTATCTCCTTTTTCGGAGTCAATCCTGTCAAACAAACTTATACTGCATCGCGATTTGGAAGGCCCTCGTGCTAAATATTTGCGACCTGCTGAAGCAATGTGCTCCCAATAACGCACTGTGCGGTTATTTGGAACACAAGGGGTATGCGATATCACTATTCCTTATCACAACGTATAGCTTAATAACGGCATCTTAGAAGAGTATAAGCTTCTTGTTAACAGACAGTTCATGAAAGTATCACTTATTCTCAGAATGTAAATCCCAAATCGAACTGTACTCACAGGAATATTTTGGGTCAAACGCAAATCTTCGCAAGGTTTAACCATCCTCAGGTCGATCTTCGGTGTACTTTTGTGAACGCGCGTGTGATAACACATGAAGAGGATAAAGTACAGGCATGTACCGCGTGAAGTTCCAAGTAAAGCACTTGTTTATACAAAATAAGCTGCTGTGCGGAAATAGTTGCATATATATATAT